ATCAGCTTTCTTCACCACATTTGCTTATGCACCCATTTGTCTTCAGTGATCGTGTAGGGAAGGTGAGCATCACAAAATTCCAGGTTATTAGAACAAGGTGTTCTTGTGTTGAGGGAGTACTTGAGTAGAAGTCCAATTTCCATCTGCTACCTTAATACTAAACCTATAAATATATGTACATAGATCTATTTCCCTATAGTTATATATAAATATCTTTACACATGTACATGACTGTATTTAGACCTCTATAAATGCTTTTTACCTCCTAGTTCTTTCCTCTATTTCCTTTTACTTTCCTCTTGTCCCACTATCATGTTTGGCCTTCATTCGGGTTTCAGTAATTCCTCTGTTACATTGCCTTGATTTTAGATCACTTGTTGTTCCCTTGCCCCTGGGTTTAACATGCACTTCCTTTTCCTTGCCTTCCCGTGTCCCCCCACCCCCAACCGTAGGTCCTGTTTTCTCCTCCAGATTGTTTATCCTGTCTATCTTAACTCGATAGACTCCATGTTTTTTATAAGAAAAATTCTAGCTGTGCACAAGTGAAAAATTGTGCCATCTTTTATCACACTGTTACATTTTAATAATGGGGTCTGAACTCCACTTTCTAATGTACTCTGCCTGAGGGCAAAACTGTTAACATTCCTGGCTCATGGTCAGAAAGAATTCAATAGAGGCTTAATCCAGATTGAGCTTCTACAAATGGCCAGCTAACCCTATATTAAAATATCCTGATTTTTTATGGGTGAGCAGAGTAAAAAGTGATATATGGCATATGTCCTATATTAAAAAAAACTAGAGCTGACAGGGGAAAATGGGTGCCATTTTTGGAATCAGAAGGTCAAATACATCCAGAAACAAGCCTAACATTTGAGGCACCAAAATGTGTTTATCTGTGGACTACCACACACTAACCAGCTGGGCAGGGGAAGGAGGGCAGTCTCCCTTAGGGTCTTATTTGGGTGTGCTCTTAATGGAGATTGGGATGTTAGGGCCATGTACTTATGAGTCATGCCAGGAGTGCCGTGGTGAGAGGGCCCTGGGCAATCTTGTAAACTACTCTGTGGAGCATAAGACGCATGTCCCAATCACAGTCCTGTCGGTTTTGGTGGGCCCTCCCTCCTGGAACTGTGATGTATTGATCTGCCACTAATCTTCCTTCTGTGACAGTTTCCTCGGTCTTCCCATGTTCTAAGTATCGGTTCTCTGCAAACCCTTGGATGCCATTATGATCTTGTGGTATTGATCTTCCTCATTTGGATGATCTTTGTCCTCTTTAAGACTTAATAAATGTTCTCCTTAAAACATATCTGGGTCTGTTCTGTACCCTAAAACAGTAGTTCAAACTTACCAGTCATTTTTCGAGAAAAAATGAGGAGCTGATACCAAGGGCTCAAGTAGAAAGCAAATGTTTTGAGAATGATGATAGCAACAAATGTACAAATGTGCTTGACACAATGGATGTATGAATGGATACCGTTAAGAGTTATATGAGCCCCCAATAAAATGATTTAAAAAAGACCAATTATTTGTCAGACACTGCTTTAGAACCTGGGAATGTGGTAGTGAACAAAACAGACAAGACAGTTTTCTTGGAGCTTAAATTTGAATTGGAGGGGATTATTAACCAATTAGCATGCTTCAAAGTAAAAAAGAAGAGGGTGAAAAGAATGTGAGTGTATGTGTGGGGGTCTATGTAAGGAGAGGCTTTATGGTGACATTTGAAGAAACACCGGGACAAAGGGGAAAATTAAGGGTGGCATTCCAGGTTAAACCAGAGGGAACAGCAAGTGCAGTGTCTTTAAGTCAGGTATATGTTTGGCTATCATTCTATAACTTTAGCTTTTTGTGGTGATGATTTTTTAAGATACTGAATCAACAGTTATTCCATGTGCCAAAACCCAAAGCAGAACAATGTGACCACCCTGCACGACATTGCCTGGTTAAATACACAACTTTGGTATGTTAAAGTCTCTTATAGGGGAGGGAGGGGGAAAAATGAGGAGCTGATGCCAGGGGCTTATGTGGAAAGCAAATATTTTGAGAATGATGAGGGTAATCAATGTACAAATGTGCTTTATACAATTGATGTATATATGGATTGTAATGAGTTATATAAGCCCCCAGTAAAATGATTTTTAAAAGTCTCTTATAAGAGCTATTTTTCAAATAAACAAATTAAATAGAGCTAGAATACAAGGGAGAGGCCCTGATGGCTTAGTGATTTATGTGTTGGGCGCTAATCACAAGGGTCTGCAGTTCAAAACCACCAGGCAGCTCAGTGGGGGAAAGATGGGGCTTTCTACTCCTTTATAGAGTTGTAGGTTCAGAAACTCACAGTGGTATACGCTGGTAGGCTCCGGCGTTGACTCTTTTAGCAGTGAGTTGAGAATACAAGGGGCCTTCAAAAATTGTGGAAAATGTTCATTAACCGTGTGATTTCATTTTCTCACATACTTTTTGAACCCCCCGTGTGTGTATAGCGACAAAAATCTATTTTACCTTAGAAATGAAACCATAGGCAAAGGATGCCCATAACGGCAACATAAACATACGCAGGTTAACTGCGGATTTGATGAGAGAGATACAAACAATCCAGTCTTTTAAATATTAGACTGGGCGAATCCTCAAGGAAACGTGAGTGACATCAAGGGAAAGACTACTGTTGAAATACGCGTATCAAGGTTAGGAGGGGGCACCCCTCCTCCTGTTCCCAATCTCGCAGAAAGGATGCCGAGATTATGGGGTGGGGAATGAACACCTAAAATATGAGCGCAGGTTGGAGGTCAGTTAAGCCCTGGGGAGACTTCTCGTGGAATATCCTCTCATTTATGAAGAAAACGTGTCTGGACGGGTCCTTGACAAACCTTTCTTTCCCAAATTCCGGGATCCTGCTTGCCGAGCACCACAGCCAGAGAGGCGCGGAGTGATGACGTCTCAAAGCGAGACTGGAAATCGAGCAAGCGCGGAGTTCGAACGAAGCCGGAAGTGGCTCGAGGACGCACTCCCCGCCCCCTTTCAGTCGCTCCACCTCCTTCAGGTCGTAGGCCGTAAAGAAAGTCAAACCTAGTTCGCAAGAGCAACGGCGGCTTTTGGGCCAAGCGAGACCCCGTTGGACAGCGCTCGTTCCCGCTGTGTGCGGCTGTGGAGTCCGCGGGAATTGATGTTGATATCATTGGCGAGTGCCTCACAGCCGCAATATGGGGGAACACAGCCTGGAGCTGGCTTCCATGATCCCGGCCCTGCGGGAGCTGGGCAGGTAGGGCCAGGCCCGACCGTCTTTGGTCCCTTCGCCTTTCCCCGTCGGCCCCGGCCAGCGTCTCACGTGGTTTTCCCCGGTGCAGCCGCGCGCCGGCTCGGAGCCCCTTAGCACCGGCCGGGCGCCGGTGTGGATCCTCCGAGCCTGAGCGGGGGCCCTCTCCCCCCGGAACGGGGAGAAAGCCCCAGAGCGTGGCCCGAGACCCGCAGGAAGCCCGTCAGAGGAGAGGGAGGCATTTGCCGCCTCCACGTTATCTTCGTGGCGGCCGCAACTGGCCTGGGGGGTGGGTGTTTTCTGTTGCTGCTGCAAAGAAAGGTCCCGTTCGGTCCCTTTCCCACTTTTCCTTGCTATCGAGTCGATTCGGATTCGGAGTTAATACTTGTAGGGACCTATGTGATTTCGATCGCCAGGCGTTCTTCCTAGCCGCCTTTGGGTGAACCTAAACCTCCAACCTTTGGGTTAGCAGCCTTAAACGTTGTTTCCCCGGGGCCGCATCGTGATTATTTCTACTTGCCAGTTTAGTCTTTTCAAGTACATAAATGAGAGGATAATGGAAGAGTTCGATGCCCCTATTTTTCTTTTTGTAAATTTTGCCACTTTGCATAAATCTTACAAGTATACTTTGTATTAACATTTTGTAAAGTAACTTCTACCATTCTAGAAGAAAATAAGTAAAAGTGTTCTTAGCAAATTGATGTTTAGATTTTCTCTCCGAGGCTCCTTGTGAAGCTCAGTCTATCATTTACCATCTTGGCTTTAATGCGGAATTAAATCCATTTCTTCTCCTTCATGAGATTTACTATTAAAAACATTATCTTGGGTTTATACAGAGCCTTTCACCAGCAGAATTTCTGCTACCTTTCATTTTATTTGCAGTCACTCTAAGAGAAAGAATAAAAATATTAACCCATAGAGAATTGTCTAATACTAAAATTTAAAATGAACTTATCCTCATAGTATCTCTAAGTAGACTGGAGTAAATGCTGTCTCTGCTTTTGTATTTAGAAACTGAGTTCCATTCAGAAGTTGAAGAAGGGAAGCAACAGCAGATAGAGTTCAGCTTCAAGTTGCAGCTGTCAGGGCTTTTCTCCCCCTATTTGTTTCCCTTGCTAGACTATGGCAGTAAGTTATGCTGTGGAAAACAACAAAAACAGGGCTCAGTGAGGTCTCATGTGTACATTCTTCTACCTTTGCTCCCAATCTTCAATTGTCAGCATTCTTTTCTTTGCTTAGGTTTCTGGGTGACCTATCCACAATTGGCTTCAACCATCTGTGTATATCTGATGACTCCAAATGTGTTTCTCTAAACCATGCTTAACTCCTATAAAGCTAGTAGTAGTACACTGTATGCTGACTGAGTGCACTGAGGGCTCTACATACACCTAACACATGTACCCCCCCCCCCTAAATTTTTTTCTAATTCCTCTTGCACTTTGGGGTAGGAGTATCTCAGAAACTGGTATTCTTTGTTCACTCATTCCTCCAAATCAGAAATTCTAGTCTTTTTAAAACCTATTTCTCCATTGCCTTGGCTGTGTAGCTCAGAGTTATAAAATTGCTTGCTCAACTAATATGCTCAGAAATGAAAATTAACCCAAAGCATAGCTTCTGATTTACTGGCTTTCAACTTAGTCTTTACCTAATTCATTGTAAATACACCACCCAGTCCGTCCATTACTCTGTGGTGATCCATCAACAAATCCTGCCAATTCTACCATTAAAATGTATCTAGAATTGACACTTCTCACATCTTTGCTGCTATCACCCTAATTCTTATCTGGAGTAATACTAACCTATTAGCTGGCCTCTTCATTTTCACTTCTGCCCATGTACAATCAATTTCCCACTCAGCAATTAAAGTGATTTCTTAAAAACTGTAAGTCAGGGGTCCTCAAACTTTTTAAACAGGGGACCAGTTCACTGTCCCTCAGACCCGTTGGAGGGGCAGACTATAGTTTTTAAAAAAACTATGAACAAATTCCTGTGCACACTGCACATATCTTATTTTGAAGTAAAAAAACAAATGGGGCAAAAACACCCAGCGGGCTGGATAAATGTCCTTGGCGGCCGCATGTGGCCCGCAGGCGTAGTTTGAGGACGCCTGCTGTAAGTCATAAATTATATATTATTCCCCTGCTCACAATCTTCCTTTGGCTACTACTAGCACATTTAGAATGCAATCAGACTCCTTGCTGTAAGGTTTGTAAGATCCTGGCTCCTGTCAACTTCTAACCTTAGTGCCTTCTCTGACTCCTTTATTCTGTGCTAATGTTAATGGCTACTTTGTTTTTTCTCTAACAAGGCCATTCCTGCCTTCAGGCTTATTCCTGCCTTAGTTCAGATGTCATTTCAGAGATGCCTTTGACCTCCCTATTTAAAATTACAACTCCCTGTCAGATAGTGGTAATTGCTGTTAAAATATTAAATGGAGCCGAGAGGATGGGGATAAAGACCTAAGAAGTAGTAACATTAGTCATAAGAGCACATGTGGATGTTGAGCTGAGGAATGCTTGAGATAGAATAGGAAAAACAAAGTTCTTTGGTGAGATGGAACCTACATTAAAAAAAAAAACCAAAACGAAAAGAAGGCTAGAATAAGGTGACCAGATTTTAACATTGGTAAAGCAGAACACCATTGATAAAACTCATATCCTGGCGAAATAGCCACATGGCAGCTGAAAACTGTATACCCTAGCTTGTCGTGCATTCTTTTTAAAACACGGGAAAAATTGTTAAAAATCGGGACTGTCCCGCCAAAAGCGGCACATCTGGTCACCTTAGGCTGGAACATACTGAGTGAAGAGGCGAGAGGTATAAAATGAGGGTCGTAGGATAAGCCAGGGCCAGATTCTTTAGTATATTGTATGCTACAATAGAGTTAGATTTATTGTGAGTGCAATAGGGAAACTTACCATTTTAAAAATACGTTTTATTTTCACTCCCATACTTCATTGTCTTATCACACTCAGTACAAACTCTAAACTCCCTGGCTGGGAGTAGAAAGCCCATCTTTACTCCAAGGAGCAACTGGTGGTTTCGAACGGCTCACCTTGGGGATCGCAGCACAACATGTAACCAGGGCTCCTTTTGCCATCTAGAGCCTCCTAGAACTGTGATGACGCAATGGTTGAATACTCAGTTGCAAACTGATCCAACAGCAGAGTTCCTGTGGAGCAGGCCATATTGTTGACAAACCTTTGCTCCTTCTTTGGAATATCCTTTTGTGAATCTTGGGATGGTACAAATGGTTTGTGCTTGGCTTCTAACCAAAAGGCTGGTTGTTTTGAATACATCAAGTGGTACCATGGAAGACAGGCCTGGTGATTTTTAAAGATCACAGCCAAGAACCACCTATGCAGTTTTTTTCTAATGCATGGGGTTCCCATGAGTCTGAATCGACTGCAGCAAGGGGTTTTATTTTATTATTTCCTTACTTTCCCTATCACCACCCCCAGACACCTGTATCTGATTGTCCCTTCTCAGGACTGAGTCTCTGTTGGATCTTTTATTGGTTCTTTTTGTACCATAATATTTCCTGTGTTAAAATTACATGTTTACTTATATATCCTTTAATTTATTAATCTTTTAGAGCAGATGTATTTATATTTTGGTTATCCCCAGAGGAAGCAGTCAGATATTTATTATATGTATCCATGCTTTATATGATATTTAAATTTTTACTCCAATACCGCAGTACACTTTTGGAAAAAGTATATCCTCTTAGCTCAGTTCCAGAGTATATCACCTCAGCGCAGGCAGAGGTTGTAAAATAGGACATGCTCACCTTTCCATGAGTTTCTTTATCGTGGTCATACATCAAATTAATGACAATGTCACTGTTTTTAAAGCTACTTTTTAAAAACTATATAAATAACACTGGAATATACTGTTTATACAAAATAAAACTAGAAAACTAACCACCTTGACCTTGGTTCCTATTCTTGTACATGTCCATTCACACTTTCTAATAAATGACACTTGACAAGCTAATTGGTTTTTGACAAAATCTCTTGCTTTTTTCTAAAGCAATTTGTGTTACTTTAAAGTTACAGTCTTTATTTTTTGTTATCGTTAAATCTGTGCGCTGTTTAAAGTGGTAGCTCAGAGCCACTTATGGCCAATGAGCCCTTCAAATATGGTTTAGTCTATTTGCTGGCAATGTAAGAACACACACTTAGTTTCAAAGACTTAAGAAAAAAGTTAAAGTATTTCAACAATTTTTATGTTTATTACATGTTGAAATCATATTTTAGATATATATTTATAATTAATTTGCCTGTTATAATTTTGATGTGGCTACTAAAAAATTTAAAAATATATATGACTTGTATTATATTTCTATTGGACAGCACTGATTTTAATAAGCTATGTAGCACCAAGTTGTTTTCAGACAGTTTTCACCTACAAATGTATCTACACCCCATCCCCCATCGTCCTCCCCCGCCCCCAATAACTAATGATTTTGAGCAACTTTTTATGTGTATATTGGATATTTGTATATCTTCTCTGGAGAAATATCTATGCATGTATTTTATCTATTTTTTTGATAAATCATTTTATTGGGGCTCATACAACTCTTATCACAATCCACACATACATCAATTGTGTAAAGCACACTTTTACATTCGTTGCCCTCATCATTCTCAAAACTC